TTATTGTTTTATATATTTATGTATTGCCCAGCAAAGGAATTGAACTCACAACCACCAGTTAATAGAAAGTAATGCTTTGTTGTTGTTTTTGTTGGATTGGCCTATCTCACCTGTACTTTGTAATGGGTTCTGTCATGAACCTCAATAAAAACCCATGGTATTGCTTCCAGAGACACTACATTCATTTGGTGGTGGTAATTAGATGACTACAGGCCCATGATTCTGCTAAACACAGAGTTTAAGATTTTGGCAACAATCCTGATGGAGCATTTGTGGTTAGATGACAATATTCTGTTGGGACTGAAGCAGACTTTTACTGTGAAGGGCTGAACAAATTGGAGCAGCTTGCATCAGACCCACACAATCTGAGAGGGTGTAAAAGATAACGTTAGAGCCATATAAATCAATTTGGATCAGTTCAAGGCATTCAACAGAGTTGGCTGTCAGTACCTGGCTGCTGTCTTGCAGGCCACAGGAATCAAATCAAGTGCATTAGTCTGCTGCATCTTTCCCCCAGTGCCATGGTACAAGTGAATGAAAGGTGGTTGTGCACTTTTGCTCTGTATCGGTTGGTTCGTCAGGGTTGTCTGCTATAACCCCTACTTTACACTGTAGCATTGGAGCCTCTCCTTCACTGACTGAGGGACAGGGTATGCAGTCCAGCTCTACATGTAATGGCTGTCCCTGGTGGAGCTCAAGCCAGAGTTTCCATATACGCCAATGATGTATCCATTTTTGTATCATGTTACAGCGACACTGAGGAAGTACAGAAGGTGCTTGAACAGTACGAGAAGGTCATGAGGGCCAAAATTAATCACAAGTCTTCCAAGCTTGTGGTTAGGTGCTTGGAAAGGTGTTGCTCTTCTGGGGCTCTTCATTTGGACTGACAGTCCCATTCATATTCTTGGAGTGTAGTTTGGGCTCTATATCCAGCTGAAGAAGAATTGAGGTACAGGCAAAGTTAGGAGAAGCAGTCTAAATTTGGCTCTGAAAAAAGCTGTCCTCAAAGGGTAAGGCTGAGATGTGTGCTGCCTACATCTTCCCCCTAATCATTTACCAGTTGTCAGTACTCTTCCTCTACAAGAACTGTAGGAAGGCAATCAAGCACCTCTCCTCTCCCTCTTGTGGGCTGGAGGTAAGCCACAGGAAGAAGTCTGTGTCCAGCATCCGTGTCATAGGAGCCTGAAAATGCCACACTTGGTGAGCCATTGACATGCCTCAAGGCTGCCTTTCCCATGCTGCACATACACTAAAGATGAATTACCTCAGCAACCTTGAGTTTTCTCTTACCTGGTAATTGATTCAGAACATGCTATTGATGAATGACATGGCCTTCAGAGGGGGTGGAAAGATATACCTGATTGTCACTGGTGTGACTGTGGTATAGAAGAAATGGCTTCGCATGCCTTTTACCACTGTCCTGAGGTATATCAGTTCTGATGGATTGTATATTTCATCTTGTGTCCATCAATTTCACATATGCATGCAATAATGTGTCATCCCAGGGCTAAGGGGTGAAACAGATGGTGTTTATGATGCTGCTGGCTGTGGCAAGAATGGTAGTATAAATGTTGCAGATGGAAAGAATCTTATGATATGAATGTTATTCTTATCAAGATTTGGTCGGATTTTTGGGGCATCAGCTCAAGAATGAAGATCAGAACAGATAAAAAGCATTTGCTATCAGCAGATTTCAGCATAAGGTCACAAGCTTGGTTGTGTGAACTGAGCCAGCCTTGATTTTCTTTTTTAAGTCCCCTTTGGATGCAATGGGATAGTTTCCTGATAGGTCCCTCTCCTGTTTAAGCTAGACTCTCTTTGTTTACCTAGTTAATGTGAGTAATTGTTGTTCCGGGCCTGATCTCAGAATTTTCTTTTGTTATGATCCATGTCAAGATTCCCAAACTCCCCAGTTTGTTTTGGTCCCTTTTTCATCTTGAATGGTTCAGCCATTGATATTTTCTTCAATCTGTAATTTATTTTGTCCTTCCTTCTCCTCTAATGAGCAAGCTTCTTGATTCTGCTTGTTGGCAGAATACAGTGACTGTTCTTATTTTGTGGGGTGGACAGGTTCTACTAACATATTTTATTTTTAGTTTGAATGTTTTGTTATATTTTAGTTTTGTTTGTGAGTTCACCACCCACCTCCCACTCATTTCATGTAATTAAATTTTTATATATTTTTATAAAAAATGATAAAAACCAAAAAGAAAGACATTTGTTATATCATGAAATTTTTATGCCATTGGTGTGTTTGTAGGGTCCTTCTGAGTATGTGGCATATGGTAGATTGAATGGCAATGGGTGAGTTGGTGAATGAGTAAATTGTAATGAATGAATAATTTTATTTTTTTATGGACACAATAGTGATCAAGAAGTTTTCACTGATAGGGCCTATGTTTTGCATCTATTGAATATCAACAATTTGCATCTGAGTGTAACTTTGAAATCTCAACATCATCAATGCACTATCTATAGTCAATTGGTATCACAGAAAAAAAAAGTAAAAACTGTTCTAAATATTCTACGAAAATATAAGAATCTATTACTAGGATTAGTGATCCACTGCAGCACACCAGACCATGGAGCATCTTCAGCAGAAATGCTGATGGACAGAATGCAAAGAAGTAATTTACCCACATGTGTGTGAAACAGAACAGTCTCGCACTGAAGGCCAAAATGCAACTAAAAGTGAAACAAAAACTCTATTATGATAGACGTACATCCAGGAGATACAGTTCACTTTTGTGATTTGGTACATAATAAATGGATTGAATGCAGAAGGGTTCCTGACACCATAATTAGTTGAGCCAGGTTACCATGGCCATGTCATAAGGTGAAACCATCAGACAAATTGTATTTTTAATGGCCTAACATCCTCTTTTGTCATTCTTCCGAATTAATCCTCACCAAAAATATTAAAAGCACCCCCTCATGTGAATAATTGGATGGGGTAAATTCTAATGGTCTAATCTTATTTTTTTTTCTTTAGATAAAAATGGAAAAAGAAAAGGATAAAAATTCAAATGAATTTAAGAATAGTATGACAGGAAGAGAATTTTTTCTGCTTTAAAAAAAAAAAAAATGCACCAATATGTGACGTCCACTGGTCGCAACGTCAATATCTGACACTGCGCCATCGAACCGTGGTCAACTCCCAGTTGCAGTGCAAAGCTGTAAGGTTTCTTCCACCAGCGTTTGGGATTGACTCATTGTCACCGCCACAAGCCTGTGTCCCGGTCAATCTGGTCGTTTCTGGTTCGGTACCAACTTTGTCGTTCTCAGCTCGCCTCCAACGACTGGTCACCGAAGTAACTGCTTTGATCTCAAGTCTAACCTACCCACGTTGTGACTTTGATCTTAAGTAGACGAAATCAATCAGGCGTCGGGCCGTAGTGCAAGCCGAATCCGGGGTAAAGGTGATACCGCACAAGCATAAGTAAAAGAAAAATAATAAAATAACTCACAAGGTTCAAATATGTTGAGAAATAACAATTTACTTTATCTATCTGTTGAATACAGGAGTGTGTTTTCCTCCCAGTCCGTTCTATGGATTTGTGACACTTTGGCGTTTCTTAAGCGAGTTATGGTATCTAAGTCGTTCATCAATAAAAACTTGCTTTTGGTAGGAAGACTAAGTCGTAAAGGACGTGGAAATCTTGGTCAGTTCCTGTGAGGCGCTATTCTCCGAGCTCAACAGCTATCGAATCAACACTACGTCTTCGATCTCCAACCCAACTCTACTCTGACTGCCCGGAGACGTTCGTTTATATGGACAACGACCAAAACCGGGTTGGGGCCTCTCGTGGTTTGGGTTCTTTGACAATTCCTTATTCCCAACCAAAAATTTTCTTTGTCCCCAGAACAGGAAAAATTATAACTTCCTATTTTTGGAAGCTAATCACTTTCCCTTTTGGGGGTTTTCTCCCTCATCCGTGAGGAGAGTTCAGAGGAGAATTATCCTCCTAGACTCTTCCTTTCTCATATTGGTATCTCAAACCAATCCTCTTAGTGGGTGTCAATAACTTCCCCGCCTTTCTCATACACGTTCACCTTCGCCCATCACTCATGCCACCACTCAGCCAATGATCGCTCCACAGCGTGGGTGTGGCTAGATTTGGCCTTCTTAAAATTATCGTCCAAAAAATAAATTCTCTTTTCTTTTCTTTCCTATCAGCCAGAATTCTTATGAATTCCACGTGGACGTAATTAAATTCTTATCTTATCCTGAGCCACCCAAAATCCACTTAGCAGAATTTTCACTGATTCATTAAATACTGCCAGTCAACTTTTAAACTGGGTGATCATTTTTACTTGATAAACAAATTCTTTATTTTTCTCGTGTATTAAAATTTTTGTGCCAGCAGATGCTCACCCTCGAGTCACCATGTCTGACAATAACACTATTCCCCCTTCTCAACCCTCTCTTCTCATGTCAAGATCCAGACATACAACAGATAAGTCTCCTCGCTGGACACAAGAACCGAAACTAAATGATATCTCTGAAAGATAATTAGTGGCTATTCTTTTAGGGTGGTCTCACTGAAATTCCTTCTCGGTTGCATGCGTGGCCCAGTTTTGTTTATCTTTTAGAATTGTGTTTTCCTTGTTGCATCACTATCTGATCATGACATCCGAAATCTGGTTTTCTCTTACGGATTTTCTGTCTTCTGCGAAAAAGTATCCCTCCTCGTAAATGAAATAAAATCTTTTTCCATTCATTTTTTTTGTTAAAAAAAAATGTCGCTCGGTCGGTCTTTCAATATAGCTCTTTCTTGCCTTAAGTATTTCTCATTTTAATTTCTATGCTTAATTAGTTAGCCAATTACCATAGCTAAATAGTGTCACACAAAGTAAGACATTCAAAACTTTATTTTACTATTAGAATTAATTCTCAGATCATTGAATTAATTTCTTTTTGTTTATAACAGGAAAATTTTAAAATTAAAATGCTTGTTTTTCATTATTATTAAAATATGTATAAAGATCATAATACTCACCATGAGCCAGATTTATTAAAAGCAACATTAGTGAGAGGCAAAATATGAGCCCTAAGAACCTGTAAAACAAAGTAAAATAAAACAAAAAAATGATTTAGAAAGCAAACTTCACAAATTGGAAAAAATGATTCTGCTTTCTAAACATTTAATGACTGACTTTGTACTGGCTCACAAATTATAACATGTTCATTAACCATCCCTTCTTAACTGAGTAATGCTTACTGTTTTCAGTCTAATTCATTTGAGCTGAAAATGATTAGATTTGTCCTAGATTCTATGTATATACTTCATTGCATACGGAAAGCAAAGGTAAAGCCAGCTGTCCTCTTTTTGTAAGGCAGGAAGAACACATTTTAAACCATAGTTCATGAATAGGTAGAGCTTATTAAATGTGGTAGGGAAATCACTTTAGAATGAATAATAATTATGTTATATTGAAAAATAAAGAAATTGCTATAACCACCTTCCACCATATTGTAGTCTTTGACCAGGAAAGAACAAATATTAAAGGTTTAAAGCTTCAAAATTCCACCACTTGACTCTTGTCTTAGTTTTTATATCATCCATAAAATCCCATTTATCAGAGATTACTGATTTTGCTGCTAATTGTATTATCTCTGAACACAGTCATTTACTGGATAAATAAGGAAAATATATATTTATAAAATTAACACAGCTTCTATTCCAATGATCAAATAAATTCTACATTACAAAATATCTTATTCATTCAACCTTAAAATTTTCACATTAAATATCAGTTATTAATTTTTTCAGTACTTTTAACTTTTCTGATAACAATCACATGAGAATTTTCAAGTTCTTTTTCCTGAATTATTATTATTACATATGTACATCAATAAGTCTGCAGCCTAATAATAAAAAAAACATATGTACTTTACACAAATATTTCAATACACATAATTCAGATTGAAAATTATATACTGAGAATTTCAGATCAAAATTCAACTCATAATCACTTATCAGTTTATTACTTGGATTTTTTATTTAAAAGTTCCCCAAAATATTGTTTAATATTTAGTCTCCTAAAAAATAAAAAATTTCTTCTTCTACAATTAGTATCCTAATTATTCCTCATAAATATATGGAATAAGTGAATCTTTAAAACAGTCATGTCTTATCAAAATAATTCTAATTTATAAAATTTGTAAGAAACATGGTATTTCAAACTGAAACTTTGGCTTAATAAAATAATGTCACAATATTTAATATTCAAACTCACCTTAAAAATGTGGAAATGATGATCTGTTGAAAGAGAAAGTTTCTCTTGTAAACTTGATTTTGGTTAAAGAAAGGAGGAATAAACAAAGGAAAATAATTTCTAACTTCTATGATGGAAAAAGCAAAATTTCAACATTCTTTATCTCATAAACTATCATTTTCTTTTCTTCTTAAATATAACATTATTTCATCCTGTGAGAACTAAAATGTTCACATCCAAGCAAAAATAATACGACTTAATTACAAATTTTAAAAAGTAATAATACTAAAATTGTAAAATCTTCCAAAACCATTGTTTTCAAACACAGCCCAGTTATTCATTTATATAAAAACACAATCATTTAACCACTTTTGGGATATTTGCTTGAAAATTAAATTGACTGTTAATTTGTAATAACTAGTATAAATTTAAACTTCTTCATAAAATATTTTAGATGCACCAGAGACTACAAAACCATTTATTTTACCAATTTTCCGAGTTACATTATAGGTTCTCAAGAACAATATCCATAAATCCATCAGCTTTATTTACCAAATTTTAAAGGACTGCTTAGCTATGATCATAAAATAATTTGTCTATTATTTGTGTGTTCATATTTTAGAAAGCAAAGACAAAGAGCAGTATCAAATATTTCAACATATGATTTCCATCATCTTTAGCATGTAGAAGATAATACATTGAAATATTAGTTTCTTTTTCATTATTCTTTAAACCCACTCCACATATATAATTTGGATAATTTTATTTTGATATTACCAGATTTTTCATTCATCAGTTTTATATTTATGCATATATTGGTAGATTTAAAGTTCTATAGAGTAATGTAAAAGTTTATTTTGTTCATTAAGTAAAAATAAAACAAATTGTTTTTATTGAACATAATATTTAATGTTTTGCTCCACTATCTTCTGCTATTTTTCATAATTCCAATTTTATAATTCTATCTAGAATTTTCACTCTCTCTCAGCAAAAAGCTGAGTCAGCAGCTTTTGTCATCTTTTTCAGGGAATTTAAAGTTTTTTTTATTAAGCAAATTCTGCTGGGACTGCAGTAAATTACAATCCAAAGGTGCAATATCTGGTGAATATAAATAAATAAATCTTGCCAGCTAAGCTATAACTATTTATACTTTTTGTCATTTGCTGCCTTCATTTCGTCTAATAGGAGCAGTACTTCTTAGAATCAATCATTTGTTTTTACTAGAAAGAAGCTACACATCAAAGTGACCAATATAATCAAACCTGTGAAAATTATATTCAACCCTTGACTTGAATATTTTTACCACATTGGATCCTGCTTTTTATAATGCAGACTGTTCTGATTTGATCATTGTCAATATCAACTGGTCTAGCCAACAAGTCATGTCTTCATTTGATTACTATTAACTGTTCTTGCAGCATCATTCAATAAGAAATCTCCAGCACAAAACTTTGCAAAACATTTTTGGCACTTTAGATCATTCACAATAAACAGCACAAATCTTTTTTGTATTTGTCACATTTTTACCTTTCTTAGAAAAAATAATAATAATAATGTTGTTTACTTTCCATTTTTCACAAAACATTTGATGTTGATATGACTACTGCCACAATTTCATCAAAAGTGTTCTTTTAGAATATAGTTAAATGTAAATTTTCCCAATGCCATCTAATGACAAAAATAAGGATCAAGTGTTTTGCCCAACCCAATATTTAGCAATGAGTTTTACTCTTAAATAGTTAGAAATCTTTCCTATCTTATATACATCAACTTACCTATCTGATTTTATACATAAAACATTTAGAGATTTGCTCATATTGATGGAAGGATATGAATGACAAGTCTATGCACTTGTTCTACTTTGGATGTAGTAATTAAAGGTTCTTTCTTCATAATTTCATCCACCATGGCATTAACATCAGTGCTAGAAAAATAATAAAACAATATAAGCAAACAAATTGATAACTTGATTATTAAATAAAGTATCAAGCAAAATTATCTTATTCCATAAAATACAAGCAAAGTTGAATCTGTTTAAGGATTGGTAGTTGAATATTTTTGCTGATAAACAGAAATATTATTATAGGCCTTTTATACAGACCAGCATACTTATTTTGGTTGTTATACTCAAAATACTCAGAATATATTCCAAATTCTTCGAAGTGTCCACCAGTGTACTCAGTAACTGTCTTAGAATTCTGAACTGAAGCCTTTCTTCATCTCACAGAAGTAGATTGCTTTCCTTCTACTTGCCATGCTTAGAGGCTCATGGCCTAGTTGATTAAAATGTTGGTTAAGGCATATCTGTCTCTTTGGTAATTGTCAGTTTAATCTCTGACTCCATACTGCTTAAAAGTCACATACACAGTTTTAGTGGAAAAAAACAGACAAGCATCATAAAAGTGGGTAGACAAGAGAGATATCTCCTAAGTATAGAAAGCAGAATGGGAACAATCTACTCCTGTGGATTCAATAAAGAGTTGATTTTAAATGATGACAGACATCTGAAAAAGGTTGAAAAATGACTGAAATGTTGTGAGTACAACAATTAAGATGAATATGCTAATAATAAGAGATGTAATAATAATGATAATACTGACATAAAAATACATATCCTTTTTTTCATATTTTAATTCTAAAGATATTTTAATACTTTATTTACTATCAATTACTTTTTATTTAAAGACTGAACATTAATGATTAAATATAGTGATATAATTAAATGCTCTTATGGGTTCTATTGCACTACAGTTGGAAATAATAGACAACACCTGGACCTTTTTTTTCGTTTCCATAATTCCTTTATTGAGGCAACTAGTTCTTTAAATAATCACTACTATCAAATAACATAATACATGTTTTCAAATATTATAAGCTGAAACGTTTTTAGCCAAACCATGAAGAGAATAAAAAAAAACTTTGTTTGGTCATTTTGCCAGATTTTGGGAAGTGGGTTAGGCTAAGAACTTTTCAATCCGCCTTATATAAGCCCACACTATCATTTTAGATTTCAACAAACCATCTGATTAATTCAATAAGATAATTTGTGCCTTGTCCCTTCAGGATATGAATGATCATGGCTCTTAACACTAAGCAATGTTTATCCCCTTACTATCCCTCCCTCTTCCTGTTCTGCCATCCATTTTACACAAGTTCATTAGGTATGTTAATCTACTCACTGCTTCCTTTTGCCATCCTTGCTGTCAATGTCTTGTATGTGTCAAATTCTCCAAGCCCTCTGTCCTCATTGTGTTCCAGGAATTTCAACTGTCTCTTTCTGATCCTAAACAAGTGTCTTTTTCATTCCTATTTTGCTTAAAACCTTTTGTGGCTGTTCACATGTTCTGTCCATAGTATTTTCAATATTCATCTGCAGAACCACATCTCTGTTGTCTCAAGTTTCTTCTTCATCTGTGAGGAAATTGTTCAGCATTCACTGGCATATAGGACGATTGATATTGTATAAGTTTAACACTCATATTTGTTTCCAATGAAATTTTCCTGTTTCTTAAGATTTTGCTTAGTTTCTGGAAGGATATCTTTTACTATTCCAATGTGTCATTCAATATCTGTCTGTTATAAAACATCCAAGATAGTTAAATTTCTTTACTTGCTTTATTTTGAGGTCTCTAATTTGTAGTGGGTATTTTGACATATCCAACTTGCTACTGACCATACATTCTGTGTTCTTATAATTGATGGTTAGTCCTTCCCTTTACTACTTTATTTAGAAGTAATTGCAGTTTTCTTTTGTCTCTTATTAGTACAGTGTCATCTGAAAATATTATATTGTTGAGGTTGTGCCTACCAATAATAAATCCTGGCAGAACTTCCAGTTCTCTTGAGATCACCTTGCTGTAGAAAGGCAAATAAATCTGGTGAGAAGATGTGATCTTGTCTTATGACCCTTTCCATTTTTGCATACTTGCTCAATTCATTTTCTATCCCTATACAAGTGATTTGTTCTCAGTAAATGTTCTGGATTATTCTAATATCTTTCCTAAATAAATCAAGTTTACCTAACAGCTGAAATAGTTCCTTGTGTTGTACCTTGTCAAATGCTTTTGCATAATCTATGTCATTCTAAATTTGTATGGCTCACTCTGGCAACATTCTGATCATAATGTTAGCATTTCTTGTTCCACTATCTTTAACAAAGACATAATGTTCTTACCCTATTTCCAGTCTAATTCTTATGAGAAATAAGAGATATGATTATCTGCCCTTAGTAGTTTAAGGTTAGCCAATCAACTTACATTTGCTGATTGGCGTGCTTTTCTACCTCTTTTTGAAGAACACTCACTTTTGGTAAGACCTACCAAATGAACACTTGCAGAACCAGCTTGCTCTACACTGTTATCACCACAGAGTCTGTAGATGGAGAAAACATCAACTCTTCTTCAGTAGATAAGTTTGGTCGTGGACACCATTAAGTTTGCAAGGACTTTTTTTTTTTTTAAGCATTACGCCCTGCGCAAGGCGGGAAGCCACTAGGATGCAGGGGGTTGCAGAAGATTTGGAGCGAGAGCATATAGGAGTGATAGAAGAAAGGATGAGGAGAAGGATAGTGGATAGATCAAGGTAACTGGAGATGTCGATTGACATTACATTTGAATAGTTGGAGATTATAGCTCTCAGAGAAACAGTAATAGGGAAGGGTGTTCCACAGGCGAGAGGTGCGAGGTATGAAGCTATTGGAGTAGAAGAGACGGCTACATTTAAAAGTTTCTACAGTGAAAGGGTGAGAGCGAGATGCCAGCCTCGTGGGGCGCTTGAATTCATGAAGTCTGGGAACCAGTGAAAGCAGCTCATCAGAGCAATTACCATGAAAGTATTTGTAAAAAAGACATAGAGAGCAACTGTACACGAGATGCCAGATCAGGGCCAATTATATTACATATCCACCTCTGGATCTTGTCAAGAACTCCGAGGTAAACAGAAGGTGCACCAGACCATATATGGCAGCAATACTCCATGCAAGGGTGAATGGTTGATTTGTATATTTGAAGTATTGATTCCGGGGATAAAAATTTCTTGGCACGGCACAGAGAGCCAACTTTCCTCGCGGTGGACGAAGCAATTGACTCAATGTATTTGTTCCATCTCAGGTCCTTATTTGTAATATTGTTTAATACATTCCCACATGGGTATCTTATATAGGACCACTTCAATTCCCCATATTCTGCTACATGCCTTATGATATGCTTAATGATATGAATCATTAAGTTGATAGTCCAAGAAAGCTCACATACATTCATGCCTTGTTTCTGAAACAGTATTTCAGGTCATTCCATGTTTTTGTAGATTGCAGGTTTCTGTCTTGTGGAAATGTTGTCCAATTTACTTCAAAGATAGAATAAATATTTTTTCTCTCTTTTTTTTTATGAGCATTTCTTCTTTCAATTTTATGTATCCTGTTAAGGAGCATGTCTTTTGTCTTTTTATTTCTTTTATTCTTTCATGTATGCCTGCTGTATTTACAAGGTGTATTCTTTGCACACTTTTCGTTGAGCTATTGCTCTTGCCTCCATTTGTTCCTAATGTTTATGTTTAATATTCTGTATCCTGTATCATTCCTAACATATTGTGCAAATACAGGGTGTCCTAAAAATCGTCCCAGAAAATGTAAGAATTGACAGTAACCCAAAACACATTTCTTCATGCCAAGGTCTACTTCCCTTTCATTTTTTCATTTCCTGCATATATGACCCCATGTCTGTTGCTTATAAAGTCACCATTATTTGCCCACTTAATTTCACATACCCCTTGAATATTAATGCTAAACCTGTTTATTTCATGCTTGACCTTTTCCAGCTGCCCACATTGATATAATGTTTTATTATATTCCAAGTTCTAATTACAAATCTGTCTGTTGCAAACAGTCATTGTATGATTGTCAGGTGACACTTGTCACACACATTGCTCCTAACCAAGCAAGGAATTGGTCCAAAGACTCAACTCCCTTCATACTGTTATCACTTATGTTCAATTTTTGGAAAGCTATAATTGTTCTTGAGAATGATAGTGGAGTGGTTTCCTGTTGCATTCTCCATAGTGAATTTATTAAGGTACCATGTCATTAGTGAGTTCTTTCACTATTTAATTGGATCTAGCTAGCTCTACCCGGTGTAAAAAAAAAAATACTACCTGTAAGTTTTAACTTAGTTAAGTTCTAAACAATTTTTCCTCAAGAAAAAAAAATTAATTAAACATAAAAAAAAATTTTAATTCCCTTTCTGAGTCAGTTGTGAAAAAGAAAAAAGTGAAAAGGCAGAACAACCTACTACTTGTTTTTTCAGGTTAAAATATCATCTTACAGATACTTTTTTTGTGATTAAAAAATTTTCATATATACGTAATATTTTAAACTGCAAAAATCATTTGAAAAATTACAGGCAAGCTCCATTTTATCACATCCTGGGTTTTATCACATTATTATTTATTTTATCACATACTGGATAAACTACATGTCGAACTACCTCTTAATTGCAGTTGTGCTCAGGTCCATCCTGGGCTAGGGTGGTAGCACCTGTTGGGGTTCCAGCTATGGGCAAATAGTTAACATCCAAACTGGGGTCAAAACACTATGAAAGTGTAAAAATAGGTTTTTATAGTAAAAATACTAGCAACAAATTTTTGAAAAAAAATATCAGCAATAGATTTGACTCTTGACAAAAACAATCTTTACAAAACTATGCAAATGAAACCTGATCTACAAACTGATTCCTTACAAAAAATACATATTCTATTCATACAAACCTATCCTAAAAATCTTGTCGGCATTAATATGATATGCTGCAAAACAAAATAAACCATACATTTATCAGCCGCTGAAATGTACTGAAGAAAATTAAAACATTTTCAAATTATACAAAATTATTAAAATGAAACAATTAAGAATTAAATTTGCTTTGAAAAAGTCTT